TTTGACTTCTCTTCGTCTTTTTAATTGTCAGTTAAGAGGAAACTTTCCAAACAGTATTTTCCGCTTTCCAAATCTCAAGAGATTTAGTTTAGGTGGAAAGGGAAACCTCACTATTGATCTTCCAAGTTCCAATTGGAGCAGTCCTCTCCAACAGTTGTATTTAGGTGACATGGATTGCGGAAGGCGATTGCGAGAGTCTATAGGAGATCTAAAGTCATTACAGTATCTGACTCTTTTCTGCAACTTGGAAGGTTCCATTCCAGCTTCCATTGGGAACTTATCTCAACTAACTGACCTAATCCTCTCTTCTAACAATTTTAACGGACAAATCCCAACATCACTTGCAAACCTCACACAACTTACCTTTCTTGACCTTTCCAATAATCAGTTTTCTGGTCCCATTCCAGCTTCCATAGGTAACTTAAGGCAACTTACTAGCCTATACCTCTCTTCTAACAATCTTAGCGAACAAATCCCATCATCACTTACAAACCTCACCCAACTTACCTCTCTTGACCTTTCTTATAACTTACTTAATGGCACATTGCCACCTTGGATTTTCACCCTACCTTTGTTAGAGTACTTGTATCTCAATCATAACCAATTTCAAGGTCAAATAAATCAATTTCGGCAAAACTCACTCACACACCTAGATTTGTCAAACAATAAACTCCAGGGCTCAATTCCTAACTCAATTGCTAATTTAGTAAATCTTAGTTTTCTCAATTTATCGTCAAATCATTTTACTGATTTAGTAGTACCTGACATGTTCTCGGTGCTTCAAAATCTCGAAATTCTTGACCTTTCTCATAACAACTTAATCAGGAAGATTCCAAATTATCTTCCTAAGTCTCTCTCAGTGTTGAATTTGCAGGCCAATTACTTTGATGGAAATATAGCATTTGGGTTTCCAGAGGGCTGTGGATTACGAGATCTCAACTTACATGGAAATCAAATGGACGGCTTATTACCAAGGTCTTTGGTGAATTGTCGCTTGTTAGAGGTTCTAGACGTTGGCAACAACAACATAAGTGATACATTCCCTCATTGGTTGGAATCTCTACCACACCTTCAAGTGCTTGTCTTAAGGTCCAACAAGTTCCACGGTTTTGTGCAGAGCACCAAAGAAAGTCCATCTTTTCCCAAGTTGCGAGTTCTGGACCTCTCCAGCAATTATTTTGTTGGTGCTTTGCCTGTTCGGTACATGGAAAATTTTAAAGCGATGATGGACCCTCATGGAGAGGATGGTTCCCCTGAATACATGAAGGCGCCAACAAGAGCTAATCCTGATGAATATTCACTGGTTGTGACATGGAAGAGATTCGACTCTGAGCTGCAGCGAACCTTGACCGTATTCAGTAGTATTAATCTCTCAAATAACATGTTTGAGGGAGAAATTCCAGATGTTATTGGAAAGCTTAGTTCTCTCAAAGCGCTTGATCTTTCTTATAACAACCTTACTGGTCATATCCCACCGTCACTAGGGAATTTGACGAATCTGGAATGGTTGGATCTCTCTTCCAACAAGCTGGGCGGGGAAAATTCCTCATGAATTGGTATCTTTGACACAACTCTCTGTATTGAATCTTTCAAATAATCATCTTGTCGGGCTCATACCACAGGGCAGTCAGTTCAACACCTTTGGAAATGGTTCTTATGAAGGAAACCTTGGACTGTGTCGAATCCCATTGTCAAAATCTTGTGATGGAATTGGGACACCGCCGAGCTCCTTCCAAGAAAAAGATGAGTTGTGGAGATTTGGCTGGAGGGTTGTGGTGTTGGGCTATGGATGTGGAGTTGTTTTTGGACTGCTGATGGGACATCATGTCTTCTGAACAGGAAAGCCAAAATGGTTTGTGTCTTTGTTTGATGGCCAACCAAGTCAAAGTGGAAGGAAGATGAGGAAAGCTAGAAGACTTGTTCAAAGAAGAAGACAGTTGCAGAGTTGACGTTTTAGAGCTTTGATTTAATGTTTCCTGAATAAGTGCTTTTCGGGTTCGAAGTTCTTGTTATGGCTGGCATTGGCTTGTCTAAAATTGTCAGCCTTCTCTTGTTTTTATTATGCTTTGTAAATTTGTCTTTCTTTATTGTAAAATATATTTGAAGGTTCAAGCTGTTAATCTTTCTTTATTAATCTGCTTCCTTGAGCCGGTTGGTATCAAATGAGTAGCGAAGGAAACTCAAGTTTTTTATTTTATTTTATTTTGTTTTGAAAATAGGCAATGGAGGTATCTCAAGTTTCGTTCATTACAGTTTTGTTCTTGAGATTTCCATTAGCACGGTCATAAAAATTATTGCTTTACATTGTCAGGCTGAAGGATAAGCTTGAATTTTGAGGTGGGATTTTGTTTTGATGGAATCATTTCATAATCGTGGAACCTGGATTTTTGGATGGTTATCGTCCTAGGATATAACTGTCATTGTAAATTTGGGAAGGGTAAGTCCTGTGATTTTTGACTTTAGTCCCTCTCTCCCACTGGCTTTTAGCAACGGTGTACACTGAAGAGGCAGCTCTTACTGAAGCATGAGTACAGGGTGGAAAAGCGATCTGCATGGCACATAAGGCACAGTTGCATTGATCTGCCTTGATTCAGGCAACATCCGTAAGAGCTCTTTCTCCTGCCTTATCTCCTTGGCTCTCTCCAACTATCTGAACCTTTCTTGCAGAAGAGCAAGGGATGGATGAACAATTGCTGTATCAATCTGTCTATCTTCACTCATTCCAGCTAGGACTTAAGATGATTATTTTAATTCATTCATTCCAGCTATTTGATTCTGTATGACTAAAAGTTGGAATACAAAAGCAGCTGAGCTGCAATGTGTAACAAGGCAGAGATATGTGGCCATGTGAATGGGTGAAAGCATGTCCAGGGAAGAAAATGGCCAGGAGAAAAATCCAAAGAGATGTGGAAGGTAGCATTTGGAAGTGTTTCTTTAAGGAGAATAAAAGACTGGGTGTGTTTTGTATAGGCTTGTCGCCGAGGGCCGCTGGTATGCCTTTGGAGTCTTTTTGGTGGGGGATTTGGTCGGAGCTTCCCATTATATATAGCTTTGAACATTCTCCTTTTTCATTTGTGGACAGCACAAAGCTTGAACACTCTGAACTCAATTCGGATTCTGATGTTTTTATCAAAGAAAACCCCTTTATGGAGAGGAGAGAAAAGAAGAATCAACCAAAGCCAAGCCCGTCGTTCTCTCTGTACATGTTCTGTTTTGTCTTGAAGCTTTTGGATGGAAATGGCATGGAAGATGAAAGTCAAGATATTAGATTGGATCTGTGTTTGTTGGGGGAGTCAAATTTGAAAAGCAATATATATCCTAAAGCTAGAGGTAGAGGTCTCATTATCCCAAACAAAAAAATAGAACTCTCATGGACTTAAAACAAGTGTTTATTT